AGAAACAGTTGGGGATGCAACATCTACAGTGGGGAGGCCAGCAACCACTGATGGCGCCACCTCTTAGAGCCATCTTCGATAGGGACCCAGAGAAGATGATCTTTTTCCTCAATCAGGTGCGCTCTCACTTGAACCGCTATGCCTATTTCTATCTGAACCCAGCCACTATGGTCGACGTGATTGTGTCCAGCTTGGAAGCAGAAGCATCCGAGTGGCTGAACAATTTGTATAACAAGCAAGCACCCGAGTTAGAGGACCCCCACCTCTTCCTCCTAGGACTGAGAGCAAGGTTCGAGGACCCGTCCATTGCCCTCAAAGCGGAGGAGCAAGTCCACAAAATAAAACAAGCCGGCAGGTCTGCCCTAGAATACGTATGAGAGTTTCGCAAGATAGCCAGCAGAATAGAAAGGTGGCCCGAGCAATCCCTAGTTCACCATTTCAAGGAGGGACTAAACAACCACCTCTCCCAGGCTTGTATCTATCGAGCAGTCCCTGATCAGCTGCAAGAGTGGTACCAGACAGCAATAAGACTAGATGTTCAGCTCGCCCGCTATCAGAAGCCACCCCCACAGGAAGCCGAGTCGAGGCCAAATCAACCCAAATGACAGCCACCCCACCCCCGAAAACCTCCAACCATTACGGCTACTGAGAATCCCAGACCACCTGCTGGGCCATCGATCAAGTGTTTCAGATGTGGACAACAGGGACAACGAGCAGCGAATTGCCCAGTCCCTTACCCCCAAGCAGCAGCATAGACCAAGACCACCAGCGAGGAAGAAACCAGCCCAGTAGCCAACGAAAGAGAAAACCAACTGGATCGCGCAGGACCTGCCCAAGTCACAACCCCCACACAGGAGACTGCAGAGACCTAAGCCTCTACCCTCCTACGACAGCGACAATGAAGGAGAGAACGACCCACCTTTTTCACTACCTGCCAAACTCATAATCCCTAAGATGGGGCACAGGTAGATTTAAAAGTACTAGTCGACTCCGGATGCTCCCGGTGCGTTATCAGCTTGTCACTTGCCCTGAAAATGGGTATACGAGCAAAATCGCTCTTCATACCCGTGAGGTATGAGCAAGCCGATGGCTCCCTAATGGGAGGAACTTTAGTCACGCAATTGACCGAACCCCTACGCTTAGAAATAGGTAAGCACTGTGAGTTCATTCTCCTCATGGTGGCTCCAAAAATGACTGAGCCTGTGATCTTAGGGCTACCTTGGTTGGACAAATGGAACCCATTCATCTGGTAGGAAAACTACTTTAAAAAAGGCTTCCGAGACATATAATAATTTTTATTGCAGTCACAGACCAAAATGCAAGTGCAACAACAACAAAAAAACACAAGAAAAATATAATCACAAACAATTAAGCACCAGAAGCCTTGGCTAAAGGGAATTACAACGCTCTCCTCTAATAGTTACAGCTCTTAAAAGAAATTTAGAAACCTGAGAAGTAATATAGGGGGAGCCATCCCCTAGACAATATAAGACCAAATTACTAACGTTGGAACCATCGGGATCAATTCCAAGGAGAGACAATAATTTAATTCTGCCTGTGACATACAAAAAGCAAACAGATAAAAAAAGGGCTCCTCAAAGAACATTTCAAGTTGGGGGAAAGGGTTACCTGTCAACTAAATATTTACGGCTCAAATTACCTAGTAAGAAGTTAGGACCGAAGTTCTTGGGACCTTTCCCCATTGTAAAGATCATTAATCCGGTCACAGTGGAATTAAAACTCCCTAAGCTCTTAGGAAAAGTTCACCCTGTATTCCATTGCAGCCTGTTGAAACCTTATCGGAGTTCCACTTTAAGACCTCCCCCATGACCACGGGGGGCACCCAGACCCCTCGTGGTGGCAGGACAAACTCACTATGAAGTAAACCATATTCTCGATTCTAGAATTTTTAAAGGGAAATTGCAGTAAAGTACAATGGAAGGGATATTCTTTGTCTGGGGCCACTTTGGTGAAGTCTAGCGATGTGAAAGCTGACCGACTCATTAATAGGTTCTATAGGAAACACCCTAATAAACCAAGAGGCAATCCCTAACCTGTGCTTTTGTTTACATTACTGGATTTGTCCTTTTTGTAAGGGGGTGGTGGAAGTCAACGCTGCTAAAATCGGATGTTTTGTATTGACAACAGATGGAAATGTAGCCATCTTTTCACTTTTAGAGTTAGATGATGCTGGGAGGAGGGGAATGTGAATGAGAATCTAGCTAGACATAACAACACTAAACCTAGCATGAGAATCAAGGTTATTGAGCCCAGAGCTGATAAAGAATTGACGGGCTGGAGAATTGGAGAGGAAGCCCGCGCTTCAAGCTAATTGGGGAATGTGATTTATGACTGTTAATTGAAGGAGGGAATTGTGCTTTGATATTATGTGTCCAAGGGAGGGGAATTCGGTTTTTCAGGCCTCCCAGCTGGAGGCAAAACCCAAGCCGGAAGGACAGCTGATCTGGTCATCAGAATGGACCCTACCCAGCAGAGACTCCAGACACCTCGAGACACCCTTGCCACCATCAAGTGCTTCAAAGGTGGACGAGGGTAAAGATAAACAATGCCTCGAAATTCCTTTGAAGAGTTTCATCTGTTGGAACCATGACACAGTCCTGCTGTGGTTCAATTTGTTCATAGTTGGATATCAAGGGTGGTGCAAGTCCTATGGAGATGCCAAGAGAACAGATATACCCAGTTATATGGCAACTGTTTGATCTGAGGAAGTGGGAGGGTCATGTAGAATGCAAACACCACCACTTGCATTATTAGATTCATGACCCTTCTGGCTGGTTAAGGCAGCCCAATGGGTGTCACGTGGATGGGTCCAAGTGATCGTGAATCCATCCTTGTTTCTGGCCGTTTTTAAAGAGTCACTTATTTGCCCCCTAGATCAGAAGCCATTGCTGGACTCCAACGTGCCGGACAATTTTCATGCCGACAATGTTCATGTAATCTCCAACATAGGAAAGGTGATTGAGAGGTGGTATAACCTCAGAGGATCCTGGAGAAAGAGCATTATTTGGACCATTTTCAATCAGATTTCAGGCCAACATGGGACTGAAACTGCATTGGTTGCACTCATGGATATCTGGCAGGAGTGGAATGGAGGTTGTGTATCCATCCTTGCTCTTTTTGACTATGGTAGAGTTCCCCAACCTTTCCGGCTTTGCAGATCAGTGGGGGGGGAGGGTATGGTTCTGTGCACGCAGCCAAGCATGCACACGCACAGCGAACAAGTGCACACACATGCACAATGGATAAGCACATGCGCAGCTCCATTTGCGCGAGCAGTGGACACACGCATCCATCGCTCATACAAATGATGCATACACGCCCATGCTTACCTGCTGCTCATGTGAGTGGGGATGCGCGCACATGCGTGATTGCCCACGAGTTCCCCAGCCCAGTTCTAAAAAGCTCAAGGCCTGCTAGTGGTCTGTGGTCTGAAGGTTGGGGACCCCTGGACTTTGGTATTCTTTAGGGGTGATTTTTTGGGGGGTGCTACTGCTTTACCTCCTTCCTCTGAGGCCATTGCTGAGAATCAACTCTGGTCAAATTTCAGTATCAAAGCAGATTTATAATATCCAAAGTAGTAAAACAATAAAAAATGAGCCAATAAATATCAACTGATTATATTCAAATATTCTACTAATGCAGTTTGATCTTATATTACAGCAACATACTATAAATGTAAAAATAAAATTCAAGAACTACAAGTATTGTGTTTCCCTGAAAATAAGACCCAGTCTTATATATTTTTTGGCACCAAAAGATGCATTAGGGCTTATTTTGGGGGAAACACAGTATCAGGGTGATCAGCCCAGTCGGGCGCCCCACTCCTGGTGCGCACACAAGAGGCAGTGAGTGCACAGGGGCCAACTGTGTCAGGCAGCAGCTGCAGCCCACTGGGCCCCTTGGCACAGCGCAGATAAGTCTGTGTGAAGGCAGAGGGGGAGGCATGCAATCCGGATGTGCTGCGTGGCGACCTGGTTAACAGTAGGCTTGCTTGACAGCATCAGCAGCAGGCGGAGACAAAGGCACCGGGGGGAAGGTGATCCCGTACTTTGTGGCTACCTGCCCAGCACAGCCGAGGGCAAGCCAAGAGATGATGGGATCGCCTGCCTCTTCCCGTGCCTCCATCTGCTGCCGGTGCTGCTAGCAAGCCTCCTGCAAGTCAGGTGGCTGCGTAGCGCGTCCAGATCACCTGCCTCCCCCCATGCTTCTGCCTGCTGCCGGTGCTATGCGAGCCTGACAGACGCACAGCATATTCGGATCGCTTGCCCCCCCCCCACCTCTACCTCCGTGCTCTTACTTGTGCTGAGCGGGCTGTGGCTGCTGGACACAGTCAGCCCCCCGTGTGCTCACTGCCTCCTATGCTGGCCACGCCTACACCCCCAGGATTATTTTTGGGGTAGAGCTTATATTAGGCACACCCCCAAAAATCAGGCTAGGGCTTATTTTCTGGGTGGGCCTTATTTTCTGGGAAACACAGTAGTTATCAACAGCATAAGTCAAATGCCTCTAGAATAATTTTTGTTGCATTTGCTCTAGATGTGGTTTATTCGATTTCATATTCTACTGTTGCTGGAAGTTGTATGACACATGAATTAAAAAAATTATTATGGTTGGTCACACCATCAGCAAGAGGTTTACACTCAATTTGGCATTTTTATCTACCTATTGAGTCCTTCCTAAGAACCTGGGATAGGTAGATGTTGTTTGATGGTTGTTATTATTGAAAAGTAGGTTTTGAAGGCTTGAGTAGTTTACTATTTGTATGGTTATTATACACTATTATTCTTATGTTTTAATTTTTAAACAGCAATATCATATTGATATTGTAATTTTAAAACATTGGATACAATTAATGTTTATTCTACATTTAATATAACTAATTTATTTCACAGATAAGGCAATTATTTTACTGCTTTTAAGTTCCAATATTGAGTTTCAAATGACCATTTAAAATGGAGAGAGAGAAAAATACCACTCACCTGGAGAATTTTCATGGTTTGGCATTAATACTACAGCTTCTTTTTCACAACAAACTTCTTCTTCATCAGAAAGAACCAAAAAAGCTTCTTTGGGCAAACTTTCATTGCTTTCACGTTTAGATGGAGAATTTAAAGAATTTGCTACCTTTTCTTCTGAACATAAGCTAGGAGTCTCTACAGGGAGCAAGATGGGTTGAGAGAAACAATTTAATGCATTTGCTGGGGCCAGCTTTTCTAAAATTGGAATAATTTCATCTGTTTCCATTTTAGCTGCATTTCCCAACATACTCTCAGTTGGTGGTTCTTCTACAGTTTTTTGAGCCACAGTCTCTACCACATCTGCAGATTTGATTTCATTCGTTGAACTTTTATTTGTATTCAAACTACTAGATATTGCTTCCTCATCAACTTTCTCTTTTACAACAGCTTCCTGTGCATTATTTTTTTCCTCCATAGACAGTTCAGTGGTAATAGCCAACTCATTTGTTTCTGCTGGTTCTACCATTTGGTCATTGTTATTTTCTTCTTCAGTCTGACTTGATGAGGTTTTCTGATCCAAAATATCTGCTACACAAAGATCTTTATCATTCAGGTCCTCTTTTATAGTGATCTGTTCCTGAATGTCATTATCTTTATTACATTCAAGTACTTGACTTTCAGATCCAGGGCTCAAGGGTGGGCTACTATTTTCATGATGTTGCTCAGAAACAATGTTTTCAGGAGAAAGAGTTTCACATTTTGCTGTTAAGTCACCATGCTGGTTTTCCTTGTTATCCGGACTTTTGACATCAGCGATTTCATCAGATTCTATTTTTCTGTCTTCAGGATCAAGATATATGTCTTTTAGGCCATTCACCTCTCTATCCTCAATGCAGTCAGAATTTAATAAAGGAGAACTGATATCTGAATCCCCATTTTCATGTTTTCCATTTAACAGTTTCAGATCAGCAGTCTTCAAAAAATCTTCTTTTACTTTATATACACTTTCAAGCTGTTGCCTGTCACTTGCTCGCATGGTTTTACGGGCCTTAAAAACTTTTTTTTGAGGTTCTTCACTGTTTTCCATCTTGATTCTTAAAAAGTAGTTTTAGGATAAAAAAGAAAAACAAGGAAAATTCATCAATAAAAATCTAACTTTAAGTGCAACAGGTTTGTTATTTTTTCTGCAAAATCATTGGGGAGATGATTTAACAATGACTCTCATTGGACTTTTTGTGGTACAGAATCCCTTTTTACTTATTTCAGGAAGTTATTTAAACTTGATCATGAAGGTAAAGTATTGATGGCAACATACTGAAATCACATTATATAAATTGTCAACTTTCTAATTCAATCGAGATAGCAAGTCTGCAAAAACTGGTAGAGATTACAGGTAGTCCTTGCTTAAACAACCACAATTAGGATCAGCAACTTTGTGAATAAGCAATGCAGTTAAGTGAGACATCACATGACTGCGATGGATTTACAACTTCACTTCTGCTGCAATTGTTAAGCAAATTACCCATGGTGGTTAAGTGATTTGTGATTTTACTGTTGGATTCTCCATTGATTTTACTTGTTGGAAGCTTGCTGTGAAACATGCAAATGGCAACCACATGATTGCATGGTAATAAATGTGAGGACTGATTATAAAGTTACTTTTTCAGTGGTATCATAACTTCAAATGGTTGATAAATAGGGCAGCTGTTAAATGAGGCCTACCTGTGCCTTCTCCAGTAGCAATGTCCAACTGGGAATCCTTTCAGTAGAATTTTTTAAAAAAATATATGAAGAAAATCACTCAAAAAGCTTTCACTATAAACTCTGCTAAATTTATTGTTGAAATATCCTAAGACATTTCAACTGATAATATAACACAATATTTTAATCCCTACTGTGCAAACATCACAAAATATCCACAAGGGTGCATACTGTAGCCACATAATAAGTTTGTTGTTAGCAAAGTATCAAGAAAAAACAAAGCAGTATGCAATTAGATCACAACTAACCACTTTAAATAATTTGGTGATATCTGTGCAAACCAATCAGTCATTCTCTATTTTTTTAGAATAAAATTGCTGTAAAAAACATTTTCCATTCTTCAAATAAAGCTCACATGCATGTAGATCTGGTAATAGTTAACTTAAAATCATACACGAGGAATGGTAAAATAGAGAGTCATTATTTCTGCTTAAGTTTTTTCTACAGAAAGTGAATTGTGTATCTGTATTTTACATTAAGTGCACATAAAAACATAAAATTGGATACTTTAGTAAGCCTTGATCTCTTCTCATACAAATGACTCCACAGAATGAAGGAAATGCAGAAAAGCTTGCATGACTTACTTCAGTGGATTCATAAAGACCCACAAATCTTAAGAGATATGTCTTACCAAGAAGAAACAATTTCTGAAATTTAACAGCCTTATTTTTGCTGTTGCTTTTTAAAGTTCTACAGTTCAGAACCATACAAGTTAGGCGATAGGACTATGCAAGAAAATCTTGCTTAGTTGTGCAAAAACCTATATACACTATTTGCCTATGCATAATACAATTCATTTCATAAATATTAAATATTTGTGTCATTTACCAGAAGAAATTATTTAAATCACTGACACTTTTACTTGGTGAAAATCTTGTCAGTTTTCAGTGCTTATTTGTGTAAGAGTAAAAATAGTTTCTAAAGTGAAATTTGAAAGTGTCCTTGCCTTCATAATTAGGAACTTTTCCTTCTCTTCCCTAATATATATTTTTTTTGAAAAGCAAGTTCATTGCTACATGGCCACAAAGATAGGTATTAGAATAGCTGCTAGGGATTAACCCATACTCATGAAGTCATATTAGTTAAAAAGGTTAGCCAATCACTTTCCAGCTCAAATGTATTTTACCCGGCAACAGAGGAGACCGAGATCATGAAAAGACAACAGTATACTGTATGAGACTTAAAACAGCTCCATACGGGTTACAAGCATTCCAGAAGGGCATTTCTATTACAGTTCCAAAAGCAAAGTGTTTCTCCAACAAATATAACCCAATTTAGAAAAAAAATATATAAGCAAATAATGTTCACTGTTAAGCAGTTTTATATTAAGTGTTGCCTGCAAGGTAATTAGGAAATCCTTGGCTTTAGTACCATGCAGGACTATAGACTTGTTCTAAAACATGGCTCAGACGTTGCTCAACAGTCCATTAAAATGCAAATGCACATTTGTATAATAAACTCTGCTTTGGTGTGTCAAGAATACACATAGAGAAATGTACATTGAAGTTTTGAAATAACAGGCAATTTTCATAAATTTTCATAATCTTACTTTGTGTTAAGATTATTATATTTCTTCTTTCTTTAAAATATTTACTGGCGTGCTTAAGAGTCTTTATAAATATTTGCTAACTTATATGTTCCATTTATGCCCTCAGGAAATTAACAAAAATTCTACACTTAAAAAAATTACATTATCTTCCACACAAGTTGAATTATATCTGTATTAAAAGGCAGTGCTTATTACATTGATTTAGTTCCTCATCTTATTAAGAAAAACCAGACCTCAAGAACTATAGTTTGTATGTTTGCCACTTAGATTGAGCATAAGTCAGGAGGAATAGTAGTAGGTAACAACAGTATTCCTTCTATTTTTTGAGCTCTTGCAGTTTCAGAAGCATACTCAAGAGGGAGTTAGCTGTACTCACACATTTGTGTGACTTATCACACAGGAAAAAATCGGCAGCTGTGCTTTACTGTTACCAAGCCCTTTCCTATGAAAGTTTTATCTTATCCTATTGGCTCAAGAAAGCTAATCCTGACCCACCAGTAAGAACATGAAATCTCACTTCTGCCCAGCAACAAGAAAATCAAATAAAACTGAACATTTAGACATAGCCTGAAAAAAAAAATCAAACCATTGAATATTTAGAAAATGTACAATCCTTGACAGTATTTTGAAAATATCCTTCTTCAATATATAATTTTAAGGGTAAATCTTACATTGTAGCAGTAAGATTGGAAATTGCTGAAATTTCCGTACAATAGGTTGTGAAATTGAGAGCTTAATCTAATTCTGAATTTCTCAGTTTAAATATCAATAGTAGTCATTTCTTTTTAGAAGACTGTACACTCTCCTTCAACCAACACAAAAATAAACTCCTTGCATTCTTAGTTTCTGAGCAACTACCATAAAACCTTTTAGATAATTACTAAAGCGCTAATACACAATTACAAGCTGCTATAAAGCCTATGTAAATAAACTAGGCTATATTAATCAGTTGTGGTTTATTGCTATTGTTATTATTGGCTTATTCTCATAAATACTTTTTCAACGTATATTTTTATTTTGCTAACCATCTTTGCGTTATTTTCTATAATTTGGATTTTCTATGTTTGGATTTTAAATAAATTGCCGTCTCAGCAGGACAATTGGTTGGTTACATAAGTATTCCTTTGTTTTATAAAGATAATAAATAGCATTCAATGTAGTGTAATGGGAACCTGTGTTAGTATAGTAATCGAAGTGTGAGTTCTTAAATTTGTAATACAATTTCCTAAAATGATAAATGACTACATGCAACCCCTTATGAATGAAGCCAAAAGAAGTAGATTTCTTGTGAATGGTTTAGACATCTCTCAAAACTTGTTCCAAATTTTGCTGCCTGTGGAAGTCTTGCCCAAGCAAAACAGGAAATTTTGACAATGCTCTCTTACGGTGCCTCCATTAAGAAACCTATTTTAAAGCAGCAAATAAATATTTGATACTAAAATTATATAGCATTTAACACTATGTTTTAAATAGGGTAACAATGAGCCTATCAAAAGCAAAATGCAAAACTATGCATATTTACATTTCAGCCGCTTTCTTATGTGTAACTTTATAATTAGATTTGATTATCTTACCTTTTTACGTCATCAGGTGTGTCACCCTCTGGAAACACAAGGGAAATTACATAGAAATACATCAAAATTCAAAGTTTCAGTATTAAAAAAGTAGCATTTATAAACTACCAGAAAGCAATGATACATTCTGTTACAAGATACATCTTTAAACTTAATTTATTTCTAGTGATTTTCCAGAAACATGTATTGTTGACTATTTTTTGAGACGGTTTCATCGGGAGAAATGAAATACATCTGCTTGTTCGTACACAACACAAATACTGGCTTATACCAAGTCCTTTACAAAATAATAAATGTGGATAAAGTAGATGCAGTTTAATTTTGGGAGACGTCACAAATAAAAATTTGGTTACAGTACAAATTTACCTCCCCTCCCCACCACCCCAATTAACCTACAGATTTACCTTTGCCATTTACCTGCCATTTAAAAATGACTATCTTTTCTGAATATATAAAAACATGCCCTAACAAGAAGCCCCTGAAGTCATACTGCCATATTATCAACATACCTAATAAGAGAAACTATACATAAACAAGATACAACAAGCCTGATGTCAGACAAATTACTGAACATTTGTGCAATTTCATTGGTTAGCAACTAAAGACTGGTTTGTACAAGCCCAGCAGTACTAAAGGCTGAGAATCAGCAGGAAGCAGGAAAAGATCTGCCTGGCAACAGGGCTAAAAATAGCACACCTCCTAAGCATTAGCACTACTGTATGTGAAATCAGCAGAGCTTCATGAAATCTCCCTCTCTCCACATGCACAATGGAGTGCTCTTCATAACAAAGTCAAACTATTACGCTCTCCCACAACAGAGCCAGATTTGCAGATATTAGTTAAGCATGTAACAAACTTTCGTACATTTTAAATATGCATAGAATACAAAAAATATAATGACAGGGTTTGTCCATTATTTCTTTTTAGCCTTAAAGACAGGAAATATAGCTCTATCTTTAGAAATGCAGTAAAATTCAACTGTGTTTTTTTTAAAAATGATTATACTGTTAAATTTTTCATCCACCATTAAACTATATGTACATATAATACTAAAAATATACCTAGCTATAATTTAATAGGGAGGCATTTGTCAGGTTTGACTGAAAATCTAAAACATTATCTGTAAAATTGCCCACTTTTTCATTAAATAAAACCCCAATGCTTTTGAGAAACATCTCCTTAGTGGAAAGAGACCCTTGCCTTCCATGATGTATAATCATCCGTACTTCAAAGCAGTTTCCTTCCATGTTTAAAAGTATTTCTATTTGTTTTAAATTATCGTTACCTAAGCACATACAAAATGAAATCAAGCAAAATGAGCTTCACTTAAAAACAAAATATAAACAGACATTTAATAATCAAATAGCTACATATAGCAGATGGAATGTAAAGACCTTTTATTTGAACAGCAAGTTCAGTAACATTAATACATGAAGAAAGGGGGAAACATGGTGGTTAAACAGTCTCTCTCCCTTTAAAAGCAATTAATACTCAATGATAGCACCGATATTTCACATGTCTAAAATCTCAATCCCAACATCTCTAGTAAAAAGATATTTCTTAATAGTACTGGAAATTACTTTATTTCTACTTGATATCTTGACGAGGTGACTGCTGGTATTCATGTCAGCATTAAGATAAAACATTGATAATTTGGCTCAATATAAGAACTATATCAAGAGACATTTGCATGATACAATAAAACATTCAATGTTAATTAACATGAAATTATGCACTGCCTCTTAATACCTATCTTGAACACTTTTATCCTTAGAAGTGTAGAGCAGATTTGGAGTGACCACCATTTTTGTAACCAAAATGGAATTGGAAACCAGTAAATAACTGTTATTTTAAAATTTCAGTATTAGAAATGGTGCCTACTATTAGTCATTTAGAACATTTCATCATGGAGGAACAGCTGATAATGGTTAAGGACTCAGGATCTGGCATACTGCATAAACATTTTCATTCTTTCATAAGTGTGAGAATATATTTTAAATGTAATTAGCCGATTTTATTCAATTCTTGTTATTCATGGGCTTTCATTCTTGAAAAACTCCTTGGAAATGGAAGCAGTTATTGAAACATCATTTCTAGTGAATGACATCATCTATAATCATAACATGGAGAAACGTATTAATACAACATCACAAGAATGTAGTGTAGCTCATGTCAGTACTATGTGGTAAGGCTTTTCCTACTGTGCATGGCCACATATAGCCAAATTGAGGTATTTGAAGAAAAATGGCTTACATTTGTATAGAAGTGAGTAAGTGAATCCATGGAAACAGAATGCTTAGAAAATAATGACTGAACATAGTAACATTGGTTTTCCTTCCTGGTGATTAATACTTTTGTTCACAACTTTTAAAACCCATCATCTAGATTTATTCTTTCTGTTGATTTAGCATATTGTAATAAATGAAATCCCACCCTCTTTATAAATGCTTAGTTGTCAGTGTTCAAACCAATGGAAAAAGGTTACCCTCTTTTTATTTTATTTTGCTTTTATAACCAGCCATGCAACTTACTGCATAACTGCCATTAGTCCTGACTGATGCTTCTTGTTCTTTCTTCAACAAATTGGTTGTGCAATTTGGACCAAGAGATATGTATACATAGATGTGCATAAGCAGTAATAAGATAAACGTTATATAAAACTGGGCTACATCATACTTGCTAACTCTGAGAGGAGGTAACGAGGAAGAAAATCCCAGTTGTAAAGGAAAGCCTGTGTTTACTGTAATGGACTCAAGTGGCATCTCATTTCATTTGTCCATAAAGAGAAATAGAATTACAAGTCTGTATTTACAAGTAGCAATATGATTAAGAGACAGAATATTATCTTCTTTCTACATCTAGCTGGCCTAAATGATGACATCCTGTTTAAGAGTCTACTCCAAGGGCCTGTGTATTTAGACTTGGTCTGTGGCTATTTGTAAGTAATATTTTTCTGTATACAACCAAATTATGGAACAATAAACGATAATCATCTAGTTGTGACCAGCAAGACCTAGTCCCTGTTTCACTATCTAGTCTGGCCAGATCTTGATTACAATATACAAGGCAGATATTAAAAGACGAGACCATCTGAGTTCTAAGGTTTCTCGCTAAGGCCAATAATTAATCAGTGGGTTGTTTAATCATGATATTCACTAACCTTAAGATTTTGATTTACAAATGAATTGTTTAGTTATGTAATGTTGATAAACTTTGAACCACTTCAAGCTTGGTTACTATGAAAAAATGGATAAACTAATAGACTAATTGAGGACTAACTTAGTGAAGTTTTGTCAAGTTTTCAATACCAAGGGAAACTCTTTTTTCTTCTACCAGACTTTTTAAGATTAGTAATTCAGAATTTTAAAAACATTGTTTAATTTTTTTTGTTTTCTTTTTAGCAGTCCATATTATTCTTGTAATTATTTTTAGTTGTTTAGAATAATGTAATTGTGTGTATACACAAACACACACATATATATATTATACACACACACACACACACACACACATATATATACATATACACGCCTTATATTGAATAATACAATATTTTATTTTTAAAATAATAAAATAATCTTTTAAAGATAGTTTTTAAGTTATTCAAGGCTTCAATCTGTAATCTTAAATATATTCATGACACAGAATTCTATCAAAGGTAAACCAGAATAATGAAATGAAAACATTTCTCCCTTTGGTCACATACAGTTTTAAACTTCCCTGTAACTCTTAGTTTCATTTTACAATGCTGCCACTATCATTATTCTTGTTCAATGAATGCTGTGTCCCAAACATGTGATAGAGTTAAATACTAGAAATAATGAACAAATATTTTACATATTCACATATAGATCAACACTGAAAAGAAGATGCTATAGAGGTTATGCCAATATTTTGCATAATATGAAAAGTAAAAACTTAAAGCAGTTTTCCATTTACATATGTAAGATATATAATCTGTGTTTTTAATAGGACATAGAAAAAAACCTAAAATGCTGATTATTGCTTTTAAACTGAAGTTCTTTATTTGATTTTTATTTTATTAGGAATGTGTTACTGTAGTTCCAAAATATATTAATACAGACTTGAGAGCTAGAAACTTGAATCTCCAATCTCATAGGACTCTTCAGTCTAGAGATTAAACAATTTTTTCCTGGTATGGGAGGAAATCACTTTTTCAAATAATGTCTGAAAATCTAATTATATATTTTAATACATACTATCAGACATAAACAAAATGAAAAATAAAAAACCCATCACTGTTTCTGTTACTTATTTTGAAACTGCAATCATATTTAGTGATAAAAATATGAGATAAAACTAAAGCCAAATTCTTTTCATAAGAGAATCACTAAATAGAGTCACAAAATTCATCACAGAACCGTCTATGTCAATTACTCTATTAAATAATCAATCTGTGGCTATCTCCAACAATCCTAAGCCCTCAAATATACTGCCACACAACCTAATCAAGCAGCTTTTTAAATGTTGAAACTATAATTAAATTAAACTATAATTAACAACGTATATATGTGTGTGTGTGTGTGTGTGTATATATATATATATATATATATATATGTATGTATGTATGTATGTATGTATATATATATCTTTGAAAAGGTTATAAAAGATTATGAAACTACTTTTCTTACCTGGAGACAGCTTGACATTCATCAAATGAACTTCCTGCTCAGCTTAGCTGCTTATGTATCAAAACAGTAGAACACTTCTAAGTCAGCCATCTTGAGAACAGGCTTTATTTGTCTTTACACAAGCAATATATATTGCATTTTTGTTGAACCTGCCTAATGCATGATTTTTCATTTAACTAACCACCTTTTTGGAAAAATGAATGCCAAGATTTTTATTTACACAACAAATGCTCCTAAAGGAATCATATTAGCTCTCAAATACATAGTCTAAAAATGTCAGCTGCAGTAGAAATCCTTTAGAATAAGATTATTGGCGATGCTTGCTGCACTGCTACCAGTTGCCTCCACAAAAATATGTGCAATGTGATGTCTTCCTTATAACATGCCACAGCAGAAAAAATGCATATTGTAACACAAGAGGAACCAACACAGAAAGTTAGCAATTTAATTTTTGCATACAAATTTAAAATTTTGTTCTTCTTTGCATTATTTTAATAACTTTTTTCAAATGCTATCTATTTTAAATATTTA